CTTAAGTTTTCACTGGTAAAGTCCCCATAGCACCTAGATTTCTGCTTGCGGACATGCATAGCCTCCTCAGACCTGGCACCACCAAGTAGCTGAGTGCCTAACTCACACTTAAGCCCCAGTGGTAAACACAAAGTAGGGAGTTGGAATTATTATTTATGCAGGGTCTTTTCAGGACACTAGTTTAACCATAAATTCTTTTATTAAGATCAAAGAACTTAAACCTAAAGAGCCTAACTAAGCAATTTACTACATCCAAAACAGTAATACAACATTTATAAGCATTTGATCATTTATAAACCCTGGATTTAGTATCTCCACCCCTTAGGCTGGGGGAGGGGCCTTCAGACATGGGCAGGCTTACACCCGCCCACTTATCTGGAATTGAATAGGTAGTTAGCTTCTGTGAATCCAATTTTTAGGCACCTAACTCTCCCCATGCATTGTATAGGGAGCCTGGGTTCCGAACTTGGGTTATGAAAGATAGGCTGAGCATTGCTGTGCTTAAGTCCCCTTTGTGAATTCTACTCTAGGCACCTACCTTCATCTTTAGGCATCTAAATACCTTCACAAATCTGGCCCATGGTAACTACTTCAGTGACAGTTCCATTACAGTTAATGAAATGGGAGCAAACATCTCCCCCAAGTTTCTAAATCCCTCAGCATTAAGGAGGTATGGCCATTTGTCTGATACAAGGGATACTTCAGTGCTAAAGACTGTGCCACTATCACACTAGTTCAGAAAAGCCATTTTAAAGGATTTAGCCCATGTAGGCTTATCTGAGAGTGAGAATCTGCAAAAGTAATTTTATAAAGCAGAAACAAGGTGAAACTAAGTGGTTTGGACTGAACCCGAGAATATTTGCATGGAGCTTTGGGAAGAGCAGCAACAGTTTTTCATAGCGCTAATAATAGCAGTTCTCTCCCTACTGAGTGTCTCCTGCTGACAGCTGCTATGCCTCTGCAGTCACCTGCCTCATCCTATGACTTGACCCTCCAGCCAGGTTACTTTAAAGTCTTTCCTCTTCCAGGGTAGTCCATGAACAAAAAGCAAGGATAATTAATGCAAATAAACTGAGTTAATAAGAAATAGAGGAGAATGATTCCTCCTCAGTGCATCAGAATCTGGCTGACTCACCCTTTCTCCCCTCAGGGAGGGGTCATCTGGGAAACTCTTACTTTCAATCAGCCCTTGTCTCAGGAGTTGAAGTTGTGGTCTCTTTACTCATCTGCCAGCGGCTCTGCTCCCCTTTTAAACTGCTCCTCTTCCAACCTGTGCATGCCCTGAAGGTGTGGTAGGGCAAAGCTGCTTGAGCCTAGAGCTGCATCTTAACTCCTTCTTGTCCAGTGTGGGGTTTGCATAGTACATCATAGGATGCTTTAGCTCTAGCTGAATATTACCTTCCATGAGACAAATGCCTTTCACGACTTACTTATCAATTTTAAAATCTGCCTTCATGGTGGATGGAATTCTGCACTTCTTCCACAGGGACCCAAACTCAGCAACACCTCAGGAACTAACACTGTAGGCCATACATAGAGACTAGGTTCATAATATGAATGGGAAATTTGCATACCCATGTACCAGTTTGTCCTCTCCCCTCTGTTCCCCTAACTTTTGCAAAGTGTTCTAGCACAGCATGAGATACAACTCTGGAGAACAGAAGGCTAGTTGCTGCAGTTAAGTATCAGCCTTGTAGTAGAGGGGAGAATAGGAGGTAGGCAGGAATAAAGGAATGAGCCAAAATTCATTTCTGCACTAGATGTCCCATCCACACTGACCAGAAATAAATCCATAACAGATTTAGTTTGTCATTTATTTAATATTTTAAAAAAAGCTGTGCACAAACATTTACTGAGTAACCAGGTAAGTTTGTTGAATTGTCCATTGAGACTCTGTTCCTTCTGTATTGCTTCCCTTCACAGTGTTGAGTGTAATTTAAGATGTAATATTACAGATGCTTATCACAACAATTGGTCACCATCCTCCTTAAAACACCTCTTAACATATTTGAAGACCGTTATCACGTTCCTCCCTCATTCTTCTTGTCTCAAGACTAATCATGCCCAATTTTTTTTAACCTTCCCTCTCAGGTCAGGTTTTCTAAATCTTTGTCTTTTTGTTGCTCTCCTCTGGCTTCTTTCCAATTTGTCTATATTTTTCTTAAAGTGTGGCACCCAGAACTAGACACAGTAGTTCAACTGAGACTTTAGCAGTGCTGAGTAGAGCGGGATAATTACTTCCTGTATCTTACATATGACACTGTTAATACACCCCAGAACGGCATTAGTCTTTTTTGCAACTGCATCACATTGCTGATTCAAATTAAACTAGTGACACTATAACCCCAGATCCTTTTCAGCAGTACTATAGCCAAACTAGTAATTTCCATTTTATAGCTGTTGTGCATTTCATTTATTAAATTTCTTCTTATTGATTTTAGACCAATTTCCCAATTTGTCAAGATCATCTTGAATTCTAATCCTGTCCTTGAAATGTTTGTGACAGCTCCAAGTTTGGTATCATCCATAAGCATATTCTCTATTCCATTATCCAAGTCATTAATGAAAATATCAGATAGTACTGGACCTAGGACAGACCCCAACAGGACCTCACTAGTTATGTTCTCCCAGCTTGACAGTGAACCATTGATAACAACTCTTTGTGTATGGTCTCTCAACCAGTTATGCACCCACCTGATAGTATTTTCATCTAGATCACATTTCCCTAGTTTGTTTATGAAAAAGTACTTTTAACCCCATTGTACAAATGGGGAACTTAGGCACAGAAAAAATGAGTGGTTTGCCCAAAATCAACACAGTGACAGAACAGAAAATAAACTCTGAGGTCTCCTGAATCACAAGCTAGTATCCTTAACCACTGGACCTTCCTTCCTCTCTAATTGACCTATCAGTTCCTGTGGCTCTTAGTCCTCTAGTAGACTTCAATACAGATGAATAGATCCAAAGAGAGACAATTTGGAGGGTTCTAATGGAGGATTCTGTTTCATTAAGATTATTTAATTTTATGAAAACCATTTTCAGGGAATAACTGTCAATTTTCTGTTCACCTGATTGGCTGATAGAGATTATCTTTGGTATAATAAATAATAATAGATTTTTTAAAATTACTGTTAGTTGACCTAGAGATGGGTCCAAACCAGAATCCTGAAACCAAATTATTTTTATTCATAAAGCATTGACAATGTGCTTAGTGCTGTACAAAGATACATAATGAGGAATGTCCTTCCATTTAGTTCACAGTCAGATATATAAAATCATAGAAGGCAGAATAAACTGCAAAGGAGATGTGACAAAGTTATTTTTTGTTTGTTTGAATCCCTAAAAGACAAGAAAAAAAAATCCAGACCTTCCTTCCTTTGGGCTGCCAACCTATTATAAACATGTGAAAAGTTCTGGACTTACAGGGCGCAAAAACCAGACCCAAAACTTGATCTGAATTTCACAGTGGACCAAACCAGAACCCCACTTCAGAATACTTAAAACTTTAGGAGGGGTTTTGAAACTTGGACTCAAGATCAGATCAGAATTTCACAATCAAAACCCATCTGCTCTCTTAGTGCAAGTTAATTAATAATAAAGTTGCTCAGAAATGTAAATTATTAAAGTAAAGTGGTTCGTGTATGACCCCTTAGGAGTGGAATCTTGCATTATCATGGTAATAACACAAAACACTGTGGATTTTTAACAGAAGTTACCATTTTCTAGAAACCCATAACAACATGTTGAACATTAACTCATGAACTTTTAAAAGAACAGCACTGAATTTTCTATGTTTAAAACCATTATTGCTTCTTTAGGAATTACATCAACAATAGTCGCTTCTCCAGAATTAAAAATAACTTCAATAGTAAGGTAATTTGACTACTTGGAGGGTATTTTCTTACTAACAAGTTGTTGAGCATAGTCTTGAGGTGGCATAGGTTAGTTGTTAGAGCGAGGGCTGGGAACCAGGAGACTTGGCTTCCAGTTTCCTCTCTCTTTGGGTACGTCTACACTGCAGCTGGGAGTGAGCCTTCAAGCCTGGGTATACAGACTCTTGCTAGCATGCTAAAAATAACAGTGTGGACATTGCTGCACTGGGGTTTGTCTGGACTAGGACAAACGTCCAAAGTTAAGTCAGGCTAGCTAACACATTACCTTATCTTGACCTATACTTAAATATTTTCCTAATGTAGATTCAAGTTAACAACTTTTATGTCTGCTTAGCAGGTTGAGGTTGAGTGGGGAACTTAGGGTGGACTCTGATTAACTAAATCAAGGTAAAAGGTGTTAACCTGCATCTACAAAAGGTCAGGGATAGGTCAGGGTTAGGTAATATGTGTGACTTCAGCCATATTTCCCAGTCTAGACAAACTCTTATTGCGTAACCTTGGAAGAGTCACTTAAACATCTCTGTGCCTAAATTTCCCCAACAGAAAAATTAACCCAAGAGTATCCATCGTACTATATGAACGGGAAGTATTAAGGTTACAATTATATTCAGAAAATACATTCTCTGATTATCAAAGAGTTAAATTTCTAATCTATCTACAAAGGCATTTTCAGTTAGTAAATCAGTTCTACAAATCAAAATCTGATGGACTAATCTAGCTGTGCATTTGTGAGTCTCAAAAAGGTTTTGGGAACCAAAAACTTCAGAAGTTAAACACTTACCAAAATGAATAAAGTCTATATGTTGCCTCACTATAGCTAACTAGATTTTACATTGCAATCAGACTGATAAATTGAACCTCAGTGGCTAATTCATTAGGAGATTCAGCCTCTGCTTAGTCACTAACCATCAGTGAATCAACCCTTTGAGTTTGTGATTTGCATTTTGTTTTGAGACTGGGAATTGCAAATAGAGAGGAAACATGGCAGAACATTAAGAGGAAACACAAACCTTGAAACTGACACATTTGATTTTAAAGCAATAGTAAAATGCATTTGCTGTATTTTTAAGTTTATAATATAGTAATTGTAGCATTCTTCTGTTCAAGGATGAAGAAATGTTTTTTACAGGAGGCTTGAGATCTCTTCTTCCCCTTGCAGTCAGAAGTCTAATTCGATTCAACAAACTCAATATAAGTAATACTTCTGGAATGGCTAAGGGTAAGTGAACACAACAGCTGTAGGTGGACACGTAAGTCCAATTCCTAGATAATAAATGGCCAGGATTTTTCAAAAGCATATAAGTGAAATAGATTATTTAATTTTATGAAAACCATTTTCAGGGAATAACTGTCAATTTTCTGTTAACCTGATTGGCTGATAGAGATTATCTTTGGTATAATAAATAATAATAGATTTTTTAAAATTACTGTTAGTTGACCTAGAGATGGGTCCAAACCAGAATCCTGAAACCAAATTATTTTTATTCATAAAGCATTGACAATGTGCTTAGTGCTGTACAAAGATACATAACGAGGAATGTCCTTCCATTTAGTTCATAGTCAGATATATAAAATCAGAGAAGACAGAATAAACTGCAAAGGAGATGTGACAGAGTTATTTTTTGTTTGTTTGAATCCCTAAAAAAGTTGGACAAAAGTCCAACGGAAAGTCAACAGGACGTTTGTATCTATTTCACTTGGGTTCTTTTTAAAATTCTGGGTGTCTAAAGTTAGGCTCCCAAATCCATCTTAACTAGGGTGACCAGACAGCAAATGTGAAAAATTGGGACGGGGGTGGGGTGTAATAGGAGCCTATATAAGAAAAAGACCCAAAAATTGGGACTGTCCCTATAAAATCAGGACATCGGGTCACCCTAATCTTAACTCATTTAAATGGCTTCATTTTTAAAACTTCAGAGCACCCAGAAGCTCCCTGTAATGTCAGTGGACTTGGCCCTTTTAAAGCACCAAGTGTATATTAATTACTGGTCTGGACTTTATTCTGTTTACACATTATAAATGTGATCAAGTCATGATCACTTGAACCTAAGCGATCAATACTTTTATGTCTGTGATCAGTTATGTCAAAATGAGGTCTAATAAAGAATTTCCCCATGTTGGGTGGAAAATGTTTTGAGTTAGAAAATTGTCATCTATAATATTTAGACAGTCAAGGATGTTTTATTAGTGGCAGCATGAGACCTCCAGCATCTGTCATTCAATCTGAATTTCCCCATGATCATGTAACTTCTCCCCCCACCACACCCCCCCCGCCACACACACATTATAGATAGGTGCATAAGGAGCTGGTCATCCTGTTCCGTTGTGTGATTTTATGGCCTGTAGCAAACATCAGTTAATACCTTATTTGTATCTATCTTGTCCTTAGTCTGTTAGGACATTGATCCAATAAGCATTCAGTATCATTTTCGTCTGAGTTATCAGTGACTTGGAAACAAGTTATGCCATTTTTGACGCAGAGTGCCACTCTCCCTCCGCTTTTGCTCACTGGATCCTTCCTAAAGAGGTTATAACCACTGATTTTAACATTCCAATCATGAAGTTGCACTCCAGTATTCAGAGATTACTTCAGGAGCTCTCTCAAAAAAATGATATACTTGATTTTATTAGGCTTCATAGCCTCAATAATATATGTGACACCATACGCCAGGCTCAGAATGAAGGCACTTCAATACTGGGAATCAAGGAATTTCAAACCCATTATGGACAGTATGTTCAAGATAGTCACTTTTCCAAGAAATATCCAAATATCTCTAATGTGGTGGCTGAGACCAGAAAATGTTCTCAAAGGAGTTTTGTTGAACTCCCATCCTCTACTGAAATAGTTACATCAGATACTTTTCAAAATGGGTTGGGTACATGTCTCAATAATTTATTTATTTGAGGCATTTAGAATCACCAAGACTCAAATTTACACATAAATACGTTAGAACCGTGCCTAGCTCTCAAGTCATTCCTTCCACAAGTGCACAACTCAGTGGTTCAAGTTGCCTCGGACAAAAGGTCAGCAATGCATTATGTGCAATGCAATATCTTCCTCCTTATACCGTTTTTCAGAAAGACTGTGTGGTTCTTAGACCTCACCTCAGATTTTTTCCTAAAATATGGTCAGATTTTCATGTTATTTAGTATATTGATTTATCAGTTTTCATGCCTAGACTCAATGCACATAAAGTTGAATCCGGATTGCATTATTTAGCTACAAAGAGTGTTTTATCATATTATCTGGGCAGGACTAAGGCTTTTAGCACTTCTCCAAAATTGTTTATTTCCCATGCTGGACACTGTAAGGGTCAAGCTATTTCTGCCCAGTCCTGGTCTAGATGAATTAGTCAATGTATAGATGAGTCTTATAACATTTCTTCCTTCTTTCCTTCTGCTGCTATTAGGACTCACTTTACAAGAGCAGTTGCTACATCTGCAACATGTGCTAGGCATGTTCCCCTTAATAAAATATTGCAAAGCTGCCACTTGGGATTCAATTCACATTTTCACTAAACATCATGTGTTAGATTTGACAGACAGACCTAATGCTCCATTTAGCAGAGCAGTACTTCAATCCTTGTTAATTAGGACTCAGCATCCCTCCATCCATTCTTGAAATAACTGCTTGCCAAGCTATTTCAAGAATGGAAATATGCAGAGGACACTCAAAGAAGAAATGAAGGTTACTTACGTGTAACCAGAGTTCTTCAAGACTCAGCATATTCACGCTCCCTGCCCACCTTCCCCTCCTCTGTGTAGTCTTAATTAAGTAATACTGTTATACTCTGCCCTAGCAGTGGAAGGAACTGAGGGAGCAGCTGGCAACATGCCCCCCTTTATAGCCAAACCCTCCAAATGGGCTAGAATACTGATAGGTTGTAGGAGGGACGCATGAGCCTTTAATAGGCATTACTACCAGCAAGTTTCACTGTTCATGCTACACCGTTTGGCACCTCCCAAGAGTGTTAATATGCGGAATCCTTCTTGAAGAATTCTAGTAACCTTTCTTTCCTGAATTTATAGTAGATTTGTAAGCTATGGATGCATGATGTCAGATGGTTTGATTGGTGTTTTTAACTTCATGTGTTCATCTACATCTCTGCTCAATAAAAGCATGAATTAATGCTTTCTGGAATATCTTCAGCAAAGCAGGACATATCAGTGGTCTTCAGAGGGGGGAAATGTTTAAATTTAGTATTAAATTTAATATATTTATTTACATTTAGTATTAAATATGGTTAGTATTAAAATTTAGTACTTTTATTTAGTAATAAATTTATTTCTGTAGTTAATATGTATATTTAGAAATAAAATTTATTTCTGTGCTGAATACTCCCTAGAGATTGGATTGGGGTGGGGGAGGAGCATTCATTACATAAATTTGTGCATACCTCAATTCTCACCTTTGCTTGGCAATTTTCCTTTAAAAGCAGGGTAGGTAGCCTTGTCTCTTGGTTTCCTGTCTTTTGTCAGTTTAGGTCAGGCCTAGGATGTTAAATTAATATTGATATTTTTTCCTTTATGTAAAGAACATTCACTTCTATCACATCTCAGATATTTCAGTTGCAGTTTGTATAAGGATCCATGAACCGGAACTCAGGTCTGCAGAGCTTGGGACAGCTGAAGTTCCCAGAGTGCCACTGGAACGGCATGCAGTCCCATGTCCAGGGATCACTGTGGAGAATAGGCACCACAGGAAATACCGCCCAGAGGACCCAGAGTGACAGTAACCTGCAGTCCTCTGATGGGCCAAGTGCACTATTTATTCTTCAAGTACTTGCACATGTCCATTCCCACATAGGTGTGTGCATGCCCCAAGCACAGTTGCCAGAAAATTTTCCCCAATGATATCCATCGGGTTTGCTCTAGTGCCCTCTGGTGCCATGCACACATGGCACCGGTATAAAGGGCTCTGCCAGCCGCGTTCCCCTTCAGTTCCTTCTTACCACCTGTGACGGTTGGCTTGAATCCTTCATTACTTAGGCAATTCTCTCCTAGTGGTTTTTTCATACCAGTTTTAGTGTAAGTAGTTGTTATGGTTAGTAGTTAGAGTAGTTTTAGGTTTTAAATAGCTCAGACGCTTCTGCACTTAACTTTCAGGGTTGTCCGCATTCCCGGTGCTGGGGCATGCCTTGGTCGCCGGGTTTTAGGCCCTGCACTGCCTGCAGGAAGCCTATGCCTTGGAGCGACCCCAACTTGAGCTGTCTCAAGTGCCTGGGGGAAGCTCATAGGAAAGACTGCTGCCAAATCTGCAGGGACTTCAGACTCTGGAGCAAGAAGGACCGAGAGGGTCAACTGAAGGCCCTCCGCATGGAGGCAACCTTAAGACAGGCTTCGGAGCCACGCTCGAACTCAGCACCAAGCACCTCAGCTTCTGTGCAAAGCACTCATCCATCAACCTTGGAGTCTTGGCACTGATCGCCCTCCCTGGTGCCTAAGTAGAAGCACCGCAAGCACCAAGAGAAGACCAGGTCTCTGGTGCTGAAACCAAAGGAGAACAGGGAGAGAGCGAGATCCGGGCTGGACCACTCGTCTCCCCTGGCATCACAACATCAAGTGTCAACAACTCCGGTGCCACAGCAAGCTCCTTGGACACCTACAGAGGAGCAACCTCAGAGTAGACAATGCACCAGCCAGTTCGTGATGCCGTCAACTCCTGAGGTGTTCACAATGGCCAGGGACCTTCTCACCCTACCACTACTGGGATCCCCGTAGGGTCAAGACCAGGGAACCCAGAACTGGCTAGCGAATCGCCTCAGCAGTTTCTTCTCCTCTCACCACAAGTGTTCTCTCTGACCGGACATTATGAGGCACATCTTCCAATGGTGGAGGTTTCCACTTATAGACCTGTTTGCCACCCGCATCAACAGGAAATGTAATCAGTTCTGCTCTCTGCGAGGCCATAGCCCAGGCTCCCTGACAGACACGATCCTGTTGCAATGGATGAATCACCGTTCAGCGCCTTTCCTCCTATTCCATTGATTCACAGGTTCTGGTGAAAATCAAGCAAGAGCGAGCTCTTCTCATAGACCTGGCATGGCCCAGACGCAGCATTGGTTCACCACTCTCCTCAGCATGTCTGTGGAGGCGCCAATTCAGCTTCCACTGCACCGGGACTTGATCTCCCAGGACCAAGGCCAGCTGCTACATCCAAATCTTGTCTCTCTCTATCTGACAGCCTGTAAGCTCTATGGTTGAACCAGGAGGAGCAGGCATGCTCTGAGCAGGTCCTACTGAGTAATAGGAAGCCCTGCACCTGAACCACCTACCTTGCAAAATGGAAGCAATTCTCCATCTGGTGCTCCCAATGACAAATCCCGTCTTTATAGTTATCTATACAGGTTATCTTGGGGTACCTGCTGCTCCTGGATCAACAAGGCCTAGCCCGCTCATCAATCAAGGTCCACCTAATGGCCATTTCTGCCTTCCATCCCAAGGTGGACAACTGATCAGTCTTCTCCCATGAGATGGTTGTCCGATTTCTCAAAGGCCTGGAAAGGGTGTACCCTCAGGTCAGAGATTACCTGTACTAATGGCACAGTTAGTCCCAGATTTTGAAAGGTATTTAGGCATTGCTGTGTTCAACATTGCAATGCCTGACTGATTTAGGAGCCTGTTGATTGTCAATGGGATTTAAGCTCTGAAGTGCCTAAGTCACTTTTTAAAACTGAGATTTAGACTCAATAATGGGGCAACACAGGGGTTAATGAGCTAATATGGGCTCAGGGTGGCTGTTCCCCTTGTATCTATGAGAGATGTCAGGATTGGAGGAAGTAGCTTAAGAGGGAAAAGAATATCTCAGTTGATGACAGATCAGGAAGGAAAGCAGAGCTTCAGTCCTCTGCTCCTGGAGAAAGGGCTGACTGACGGCAGGAACTCCCCAGATGACCACTGCCCGAGAGACCCTCCATGAAGGAAGGGAGGGTCAGATGTTGACTCATCTTGAGATGTAACCATTCCCTTCTATTACTTGTAAACTCAGTTTAGGGCCACAACATGACAAGCGCCCTCTGAAGGAAGAGAGCCTTAACCCAATTTTGGGATGATTCATTTGTGTTAATTCCCCTTATTTCTATTTGTTGGCTATCCTGGAAGGGCAGGGGGGAGACTTTAAAATGACCTGGGGGCCAAGTCACAGGAAAAGGCAGACCACCACAGAAGGTATCTGATGGGGAAAGAGCTGCTATACCAGGCCTGGCTGGCCACAAGGAGATGCTAGTGGTAAGTCAATCCCTTCACAGGCTCCTTAATCAGTTAGGTGTTGCAGCACTGAGTACAGTTCCTACAGCTCCCATTGGCCGGGAACAGCGAACTGTGGCCATTGGGAGCTGCGGGAGGCCATGCGTGCAGATGGTCAACGTAAACAAACTGTCTCACGGCCTGCCAGCGGATTATCCTGATGGGCCGCGTGCCGAAGGTTGCCGACCCCTGCAGTACAGCAACATCTAAATACCTTTAAAAATGTGGGCTTTAGGGACTATTAATCTGTGTATTTTACACTGTAGACCAGACCTGCTCTTTTGACTGCATCCCTGTTGTAGTCAATGAGCATTACATAGTAGTTTTTAGTAGTTTAGTAGATTTTAGTAGTTGCTGCTTAAAGATGAATACCTGCTTTTTTCATTTGTTCTCATTTTGAAAAATCTCAAAGATGCTAGAGGCCTATTACAGAATAACAGCTTGCAAAAATGACATATTTTAAATTAAAGCTGGTTCTGAGTCGATTGCAGACGTGTCTGAATCTGTAACAATTCTATTATTTTCCCTCCTATATTTTAGAAATAGTTGAAATGACTTGAATCTAACCTAACAGACAAAATTTCATTCCTAGGAGAAAATCCTGTGTGCTAAATTGCAACCCAAAGTACATTTCCAAGGCTAAGTTTCAAATGTCATTGAAAAATGGGCTGTGTAATGAAAGATCTTTACTTATTAGACTGGTTTTGAGTTGCAGTTTTGCATTAACACAAGAAAAATAAAATGATATATGCACAAAGTATTGTACTCTTTTTTAATTTCCATTGCCAATATTTACATCAAATAAGATAATCTATTCTTTAACACATCCATTTGCCAGACTATTTAATCAAAGTCATTGTAGGCTTCTGGTTTCCCCATAAAATAGCTTATTAGAGAAAAGCGACCCTCTCAAACCAGTGAATGCCAAGTACGTACACTACTAAAATGATTGCAGTAGACATTGACATATCTAGGAGTGATTTTATAAACAGTCTTTCCAAAAACATTGAAATTTTATTTAATTATAGTAGTCTGTATTATATTTAAAAATTCTCTTTTTCAAGGGAGAAGAATCTCTTCTCTAGGTAAGATCCATACAGAAATATTACTGCCACATATATTAACAATTGAATGAATAGCTGATAATTGTTCCCTTTAATGCTTTAAGGCTATAAACAGGCAAATGTTGTGATTTTGCATAAATCCCTTGCTGATGACTTTGAAAAGTTTTGCCATGCAAATGATGGACCTCTCCCGCTGCTGTACAGAAGTAAACCAGGTGAATGGAAATGTCCTTCTCTGAGCAGCAATTCTGATATCAGGTAAGTGTGGAAGTCTTTCCAGCTGTCAAACAGGTCTGATATTCATACTGGACATTATTGGAAGATAACATTTTCCAGAGTGCAGACCATCCATAGCTTTGTGCACAATGAGCCCAACTTGCTTTCAGTTATACCTTTGCAACTGAAGTAAATGGACTGATGCAGTGGCATAGAATTTGGCCCATTATCCTTGTTTTTGACAAAACACCCCTTTACAATCCAGGTTGTCAACATTTCAATTGTTTCAGTGATCCAAAAAATGAAGTTATGTTTAGTTGCAAAGATCTCTCAATAGTAGACCTCAGACTTAGCCTATAGTATTTTTCCCCATTTCTGCTTTATCCAATAGCAGCACTGACATGGTTACTCTACATTGCTCAGAGGTGGTTAGGAGACTGACTTCTGGAGCAAGCAGTCAGAGCAAAAGTCAGAACTCTGAAGAACATAATTTTGTAATGCTCATGAGAAGGAGATCAGTCTCAGGGGCATTTGCCTAGTAAGAATAAAATGTGTAGATGGCTTGAATGTGTGCACGAGGTTTCTGGCTTAATATGCAGTTGTGTAGGACAAGCAGGCTTTTACTGTTCTTCTTTGAGTGATTCCACATTCCACTATGGTTGTGCACATGCCCCACACACAGATGTCAGAGATTTTTTTCCCCTCAGTGGTACCCAGCAGGGTGGCTCAAGTGCCCTCTGTTGCCAGGCACTACTGCATGCAGGTATAAGAGAGCGCAGTCTTCCCTGACCTGCTCAGATTCTTCTTACCGCCAGTGACGGTTGTCAGAGTGATCCAGACTTAAAGTAACAAGTGCTTCCCTCACTCTTTTCTGCATATAAATACTGTTGTAAATTAGTATTTTGTTAGTTATACTTAGTTTTAGACAATTTTAGTGCTTAAGCATGGCCCCTTCCCAATCCCTCTTCAGAAACCACTCTCTCGAAATTGCCCTTCTATAGGAAGTCTAATGTTTTCTTCAGGCAGAGGCCATAGAGGAAGTCCCATTGTACCTCAGGAGGAAGGGCATCTATTTCTGCTACTTCCTCATCCCCCAGGACAAATGAGGGTCTCAGACCTATTTTAGATCCAGGAGAGTTGAACAAATTCCTGAAGAAAATAAATTCTGTATCGTTACCCTAGCTTCAATTATTCCTTCCCTGGAACAGCGGGACTGGTACTCTGCCCTTGCTTCCATGTTGCAATATGCCATGACCATCAGAAGCTTCTCAGATTCCTGGCGAATGGTTGCAATTATCAGTTCATGGTGCTTACATTGGGGCTGTCAGCTATTCCTTGGGTGTTCATGAAGTGCGTGGCAGTTGCAGCAGCTCATCTATGAAAATCAGGTGTCCCTGTTTGTTCCTGTACCTGGATGACTGGTTGATCAAAGGTCGGTCCAAGGCTCAAGACCTGCCTGCTATATCCACTATCCTGTCCACATTCTTTGCACTGGGGCTCCTACTAAATTGAGACAAATCAACCCTGAACTCATTATAGACAATAGAGTTCATCAGGGCAGTCTTAGACTCCACAAAGGCCAAGACCTTTCTATCACTTTACAAGTTTACAACTTTACAAGACCTAGTACTGCAACTGAGAACATACCGTCTGGTAACAGTACATAGCTGCCTCAGTTTTCCAGGCCATATGGTAGTATGTACCTGTATAGTTTGACACACCAGACTACATCTCTATGTTAGTTTTGTCATCTCTGGATTGATAGATGGACCCTCTGAAAGTTTGCCTGAGGATTCCCTTTCTCTCCCTGCTATCAAACCTCAATCTGGTCACAGATGTGTCTTCAGTGGTCTGAAGAGCTCATATGGGGTTCCTGCAGACTCAAGGTCTTTGGTCATCTCAAGATCTAGAGACTCTCATAAATGTTAGGAAGTTAAGAGTGGTATGTCTAGCCTGCTTGGCCTTCCTCTCTCAAGTAGTGGGGAAAAAATTATTAATTCTGACAGACAATTTGATGCCCATGCCTTACATAAACAGACAAGGAAGAACATGGTCAAACCAACAGTGCCAGGAGGTAATTTGCCTTTGGACTTCTGTATAGCCTCAATTTATCTCAGAGCTGCCTACCTTCCAGGGAAACAGAACATGTTAGCGAATCAGCTGAGCAGATCCTTCTCTGATCATCATGAGTGATCACTATGTCCAGACATGGCCAGGTCCATCTTCCAACTCTGGGAGACTCACCAAGTGGACCTGTTTGCAATATGAACCAACAGAAAATGCCATCAGTTCTGTTCCTGGGGAGGCTCAGCCCAGGCTCGCTGACAGATGCTTTTCTCCTGTCCTGGAAGGAATCCCTTGTGTATGCTTTCCTTCTGATTCCTTTACTTCCCAGGGTCATTTTCAAAAAGAAACAAGACCAAGCTCACCTCATCCTCATAGCACCAGAATAGCCTCCTCAACACTGGGTACTCAATCCTATTATCCTTGTCAGTGAAGCCTCCTCTGTCTCTCCTGTTGGATCCAGACATCATTTCCCAGGACCACGGGCACCTACTCCATCCCAACATCCAAACTTTCCATCTGACAGCCTGGATGCTTTATGGCTGCTCAAGGGACATTCAGAAAGTGCTTCAGAGTAGCAGAAAACCCTCAACTAGGAACATTTACCTGGCTAAATGGCAGCACTTCTCCATTTGATTGTCATAGGAACGGTGTATTTCCAGAGCAGGGCCCCTGAACCTCATGCTGGACTATCTTCTAGATTTAAAAGAGTATTGCAATTAGTTCTATAAGGGTGCATCTGGCATCTATTTCAGCCTTCCATGCCTTGGTGGATAATAGATCCCTTTTCTCTAACCCCATCATCACCTGATTCTTAAAGGGCTTGGTCAGATTACACCCACACGTACGAGACCCCATCCCATCTTGGGATCTTTTGAACTCAGTCCTAGCAAAATTGATGGGACCACCCTTTGAGCCCCTTGCAACTTGCTCCCTCCTTCACCTTTCCATGAAGGTAGCATTTCTGGTGGCAATTACCTCAGCCAGAAGGGTGGGTGAGTTGAAAACTCTGATGTCAGAGCCGCCCATACAGTTTTCCATAAGGATAAAGTTTATCTTCACCCTCACCCAAAATTTCTCACAAAAGTAGTCTCTAATTTTCATGTTAATCAAGCAATCTATTTGCCCATGTTCTGTCTGAAACACGATGCACTTACGGATGAGGAAAAGCTTCACTCTTGGATGTGAGAAGAAGGGCTTTAGCTTTCTACCTGGCACGAACTAAATCTTTTAGATCCTGTATGAAGTTGTTTGTAACAGTTGCAGACAGAGCTATGGGCCAACCAGTTTCCACTCAGAGAATCTCCTCCTGGATCTCTTCATGCATTCATTTATGCTACCAACTGGTTAATATAATCCCACCAACTAGAGAGCTGGCGCATTCTACTAGTGCGCAGGCAGTTTCTGCAGCTTTCTTAGCGCAAGTGCCTATTATAGACATTTGTGAAGCAGCCACTTGGTCATCAATCCACACTTTTGCATCTCATTATGCCATTTCTGTCAGTCAAGATCAGTTGTTCTCAGCCCGCAGCCCAATTAGCACACAGCTGTTGCCCATGTGACAGCCTCAGGACCATAGAGGTAGTATATATATTGTGTGGATTCGGCCCACATAACACAGAGAGAGCTGCATATGTGGCTCACAGTGGTAAATAGGTTGAGAACCACTGGTCCAGAGATAATGCCAGTTTTGGACAGGCTATCTTACAATCACTGTTCAGGTAGACTCTGAATCCACCTCCTTGCATGTTTGCTTTTGAGTCACCTACAGTGGCATGGACATGTGCAATCACTCAAAGAATAAAAACCAGTTACCTTCCTTTCTTTAATTGTTATTCTTCAAGATGTGTTCCATATGTCCACTCCATGACCCTCCCACCGTCCCCTCTCTATTGGAGTTTGTCTGATACAAAGGAACTATGGCGGGTCAGTGGCAGCTCTGCTCTCTTATACCAGCACGCAGTGGTGCATGGTGACAGAGGGCTCTCAAGCCACACCGACTGGTGCCACTGAGGGGAAAAAAATCTTTAACATCTGTGCACAGGGTGCACTCACACCTACAGTGGAACAGACATGTGCAACCCATATTAAAGGTCAACAGTTACAGCAAGGTAGATTAACCAGTTTTTTTGTGTTGGTTACACTATCACCAAGAAGAAAAAGAAATGGACAGAACAGGAAAAATCCTGAGCTTTAACACTTCATGAATGTCAATTTAGCCAACATTTCTTCATATAATAATTCATTTTGCTTAAAAAAATTGTGAGAATTGTGACAGTATAGCTCTTTCTTTATTTCATTAGAACTGATTGCCTACAATACAGGATATATGAGTATGGAGCTTGTACTGGCACTTCGACAAGCCTAAAGGATTATTTTGATCAGCTTAAAGACATGGTGACTTTTTACTTAGGCTGCAGCTTCTCATTTGAAAAGGCAGCCCACAAGGTTGGTGTTCCTCTAAGGAACGTTGAGCAGAAATGCAACGTAAGCATGTACAAGGTAAGAACACAATAATTGTTAAATTACATCGAGGTTCAGATAGGGTTACATCAGCACAGTTTTGTACACTGAAACCTGTACTGCAGACCATCTCCAATACACACAATATTGACTATTATTAAACCACTTTTAGTATTTCCACATGGATTTGCTGTTTAGTTAAAAGGTTGAGTGTACTATGCAATGGATTTTTGTTTCACCTTGGGTTATCATTCAACATGCTTGTTTCTGTTTTCTTGGTCTCAATGAGAAGAAAAAAATCCCTCTCACAGTGAGAGCCTATGTTAGTCTTCAGGTTGGAGAAAATACGTGAAGTTGTTTACAAAGAAGAATTTGTCTAATTGTGTTTATTACATTCTAGAATTTAAAAATATCACTATTTATTGCAGTAATGGCAATATCAAGATAAAATAAATGCTACCTTTTGAATGTAGACCTATATTCCTCCATACTTTAATTGAAATCTAATACCTTTTATTAAACATTACCGGTGCAGACAGTATTATTTGTTGGTTTGCTTATCATATCTTAAATGACAAATTAACTTGGAATGACATTTTATCTTTATAACCTAGATTTGTGTTTCTAAGTGGACATGACTCAAAATTAAAATTTCTTAGGACCAATCTGTGCCTCCTCTTCCATGGGCAGGAAAGGCCCTGACCCAATGGAACTATGGAAATAGAATATTGCCAGTTTTGGGGTGGGTAGATCCGAAGGATCTCTGCAAACTCTGCTATATGCAGTTTCTCTGCATTTTAGCATGCATGGAGAGTTGTGGCCAATAGATCTGTTTCTTTATGCTTTTTACCCCTTCCCCCCCCAGGAGAAAAAAACAGCAGTTAAGGCTACATATCTGGGGTCCACAGTATATCTGGGTTTACCAAGATTTGTGCTGCACATGCCAAATTAAGGATTTAGCTCTTAGAATATAATTAATGGTGCAGAAGATATTCATTGTCATACATGTTAATTACAAGAGCTGAAGGGTAGAATGCCTGGTTTATTCACTATTGATTGTTATAGGAAATGGATTATTTTCATTGGATGCTAGTTACAATATTACTCAAAATCCTTTTAAAATGTATGTTAAAATGTGCCCCTTGTAAATTCAAGGGTGCATAGTCATTTCAGAACTGAAAATAAGCCTTGGTAGTTCTTCAATTCCTGCTAATGCCTTGATTATTTTTTAAAATTTGTCAGACAGATATGCCTTGCTGCAGAGTTGCTAGTTTTTGCTGCAATTTAGTGGTCACAATGAGACCAATTCCTGAAGACCAGTTAGAAGCAGTTGTGGAAGCTTCTTGTCCATTGAAAGACTCACATGGAGCACCAGTTCACATTGGTAACCCTGGTCAGTGTACTTTCCATACATTTCATTCTAGGAGTGTATTACACTGGCCATAAAGCTAAGGGAAAAAATTGACAAAAAGTATGGGGGACAATAAACTTCAGCCTAAATTTCAAGTGGCTACATAAAAACCTAAACCTTTTTATAGGTACATAGGTACTGACTTGTTTACAGTTTAGTTTAGCTGAAAGTGAAGGTTTGATGTGACTGAACAGAGAAAATGTGTTGGATAAAGAGATGGATGTGTGAAACAGGGAAAGAAGTAATGTAGTCTATTTGGTGACAGGTTTCAGAGTGGTAACCATGTTAGTCTGTATCAGTAAAAACAATGAGGAGTCCTTGTGGCACCTTAGAGACTAAACAAATTTATTTGGGCATAAGCTTTCGTGGGATATAACCCACTTCATCAGATGCATGGAGTGTAAAATACAGTAAGCAGGTATAAACATACAGCACATGAAAAGATGGGAGTTGCCTTACCAAGTGGGGGGTCAGTGCTAACGAGGCCAATGGGACACATCCACCCTAATTGAATTGGCCTGCTTACTGTATTTTCCACTCCATGCATCTGATGAAGTGGATTATATCCCATGAAAGCTTATGCCCAAAATTTGTTAGTCTCTAAGGTGCCACAAGGACTCTTCGTTGTAGTCTATTTGGATTTCAGTAAAGTATTTGATTAAATCTTATTGAAAAATACATGTGGTTTGGCTTGAATATGTGTACTGTCCCATCGTTGGAAAGGGTAACAATAAATGGCAGTGTTGGGAGATGGCAATTTCAAGACGGGATCAGTTGTAAGTCTGGTATTATTTAGCATCTTCATTAATGAACCTGAAAGTAAACATCACATTGCATTTAAAAATGATATTGAACAAAGATGTGTTAAAAACAACTGTGAGGACAGAGAAAATAATACAACAGTGGAAAACATATTAGAAATGACCTTTTGTTATGATATGGCAGTAATAAAAAAAACAGTGACGTTATTGGCTATATCAAATCACGGAGCATGGAGGGGGGGTCTATATGGCACTAGTGACCCTGCACCTAGAATAATGCATACAGGTCTGGGTATTTAACTTCTAGAAGGCAAACTACAAATTGGAGTGAGTTCAGAGAAGAGCAACAAAAATGATTAAGAGGCTATTTTTGTTGGTCTCTGACGAGTATTTTAAATAATCACATGTGGCTTACTCAAATGAAGTCTAGGGCAGGTGGGGGGAAAATAAGAAAACCAGCTGCAGGTGTCTGAAGAATGTAAACACAAAGGAGAGAGAGCAATTGTTTAGGATGATCCAGGACAGTATAACTAAAAATAATTGAATTAATTCAAGCAAAGGATTTAGGCTGAAGAACACGAAAAGTTTGATAGTGAGCTCTAATAGGCTGTGGAATAACTGCCAAAGGGAAGTAGTGAAGGCCCATACCTTTAGCTAATGAAAATGGGCTGGACAAAGCACTGGATAGGAACATGCCTGCATGGGCAAATAGGAATAACCCACCACTACTCTTATGAAAGTATCTCTTGAGTGAACAGATCAGATATTGTAAGAACGTTTCCTAGGAACTGTAAAATTCAGAGAGTGCTCAGCAGGTTTTCATTTGTCTCAGATATAGCCAGATATAATATGTAATAAAATGTCATCATCCGTGTTTTACTAATATACAAAAAAAAATTTAAGGCATATAATATTAGGACAGGAACCGAGGACACATACATGCATACTAAGGGAGCCTAACAGGCCATTTGAGTCATAGGTTGGCCTTGTCATTACTGCTTTCCATGCTGCAATTTTAACACAGTGTCACTGGATGAGCTCAGCTTTATACCATTACTGCTTTGCTGGAATTTAATGTTGTTTTACTGTTTGTCAATCATAGGCCTATTAGGAATCCAAAACCTTTCCAGACCAGACTATGGAGATCCAGTTCAACCTCACCCTCAGGATGTTCCAGTGTTTTGGGCCTGTGGAGTAACAGGGGTGGAAGCAGTCAACAACTGCAGTATGATGGACTTTTTATGTTTGAGATAACAGTGGTTTCATTTTTATGTTGTTCACTGTACACTGAGAGAGTTCTTATTGGTAGGATGTGGTTAGTGGGTCTGATCTTCATTGCCCTGAACTAGAGCTGGTTGAAAAATCTTTGATGGACCCATTTTCTGTTGGAACAGTTCACTGAGTTATTTCCCTATGGGTGCTCCACATGAGGTTGTGCACATGCCCGTGCACTCTCCCATCGGAGATCTTTCTGCTAGTAGTGCCTGCACCGGCTGCACCTGCACCGTACACCTCCTTGTGCTCCAGTATGAAAATATATAGGGAGAAGTGGACCATGCTACTCCAGTTCATTCTTAACTGCCTGCAGCTTGAGATGCAGTTCTGTGGTATCAGCTATCTGGTTGACATAGTTATTCTTCTGCCCTTTTACTCTTTATTTTTGTTTTACAATTAATTTTTAGTTGTTGATATTTGTTTTGTTTTTGCTGTTGTTAATTTACATTTTATAGCACAGATGTGCTTTGAAGGTGGGTTCCCTCATCTGTTCCTTCTTTCTTTGAGGGCCCCCTCTCTCTCAGGCCTTCTTGACTGGCAGCTTTCCTGGCAGGGTATGCCCAAGATCCCAGGATTCAAGCCCTTCCAAATCTGACACAGGTCTTTCTCCCTTCTGTGATAGGCATTCCAGCTGCCTCTCCTGTATTGGGGCTTGTCTACACTACCGCGCAGGGTTGATCTAAGATACGCCACTTCGGCTATGTGAATAGCGTAGCTGAAGTTGACATACTTAGATCTACTTACTGTGGTGTCTTCACTGTGGCAAGTCGACAGCTGACGCTCTCCCGTCTACTCTGCTTGTGCTCCTCATTCTGGTGGGATACCGGAGTCGATGGAAGAGCGGTCAACGGTCAATTTATTGTGTCTATAGTAGACGCGATAAATTGTCCCCGCTGAGTCGATCACTGCCTGCCAATCCAGCGGGTAGTGTAGACAAGCCCTTGGAGAGGCTCATGTCCCATCCAGGCTTCAAGAGCTCCGGTGGCAGGGAGCCCCTGGCCCTTTAAATCGCCGCACAATCCCTGCTCCCTGAGCCCTGGGGTAGTGGCGGCAGGGCTCTGGCAGCGATTTAAAGAGCCAGGGGCTCCTGCCGCTCCGGGGAGCCCTGACCCTTTAAAGTGCCACCCAAGCATCACTGCCGGAGCCCCGGGGTAATGGCGGCAGGGCTCCAGCAGTGATTTAAAGAGCCAGGAGCTCCCCACAGCGGGTAGAGCCTTGGGCCCTTTAAATCACAGCCGGAGCCCTACCGCCGCTACCCCAGGGCTCCAGTGGCGATTTAAAGGGCCCTGGGCTCCGGCTGCTGCAGGGAACCCTGGGCCCTTTAAATCGCCAGCCTGGGGAAGCCGGTCGATCCGAAACGGCATACCAGCTCTTGCCGGTACACCGGACCGGCTTACTTTCACCACTGCTCATTGGTACCAAGATCAGACTCTTCCAGATGGAAGGACTCTTAGAAGAAATTATCTTACCAGGTCCACCAACAGCTTGATCTTTCCAGAATGACTGTGGTCTTCTGTGGTACCGCCTCCTGTACTGCTGGACATATTTAATCTGGGGGAACACTCCCCGGGCTCACGGGTAGCTTCTAGGTACCTCTCTCACGAGGGCCTTCATGGTATCGAGGAACCCGAGTTCCTGTTCCTAAGGGGTACCACGAAGACTTTCCCACTGGCACATGTCTTCCCACCCTGACCAAACATATTCCCTGATATCGCTGCAGCCTCAGGTATAGATCCACCCACCAGTACCATCACAATTGCTGGATCCGCCTTGGCTTCTAATACTGATGTGAGCCCTGGTACAGACTCCTTCAGCTCCATCACTAGACATAGGACACCTCCTCTGATTCAGAGGTCTCTATTGAGGGCTGTACCATCTATCACCCTCCTCCTCTTGAGGTCTTCCCTGAAGAAGAGACCTGAGGAGCCAGCAGACACTTGATCCAACAGCTCTGGCAAGACCACCCAAGATGTGTAGTGCCTTTCCCTTACACCCCTCTCCAGGGGGATTTCGGAGCCCTGGAGCTCCATATGAGGACCAAGTCTACAGGGTATCCTTACACAAGAGGTCCCAACAGGATTCTCATCCACCAATAGCTCAGGAGCCTCCTCACCCTACTCAAGAGGGGCCATCAGAGGATCAAGAGTTCAGATGAAGTTTGCCCCAGAAGAGACAACTATGCCTTCTCTGCCATCCTACATGGATAATTTCAGAACTTGATGAAATGCATAATAGAGGCTATACAGATTCCTTTGGAGGAAATCCAGGAACAAAAGCAATCCTTGGTGGACATCTTGCACACCTTCACCCAGGGCAAGATAGCCTTACCTATTAATGAGGCCCTTCTCTCACCATCCCACACAGTGTGGCAGACTCTGGCCATCATCTCACTCACCTGTAACAGGGTCAATAAAAAGTACTATGGCCCAGCCAAAGGCTTGGAGTACTTGTTTTCTCATCGCACTCCTAATTCCCTAGTCGTCAATGCCACGAACAAAAGAAGTCAGCAATATCTGACAAAGAACTTAACCATCTGACCTTCTAAGGTGTAAGAGCTACTTATCAGTGTCTCCGATTCCGAGTTGCCAACTGCCAAGCCCTGATGGCAAAATATGACGTTACCTATTATAGTAAATTTTCTCATTTTATTGAGTCTGTGCCTCAGAACAAGAGAGAGCAGTTTCTAACTCTTATTACATACAATAGCCAAAGCCTTCCTGCAGGCCTCCCTTAATAAGGTGGATATGGCCTCTCATTCTATGCCCTGTGCCATAGTCACGCGCCAGACCTCCTGGGTACAGTCCTCTGGCTTGCTCAAGGAAGTACAAAATATTATGTAGGGCTTGCCTTTTAAAGGGCCTAAGCTCTTTAGTGACATACAGACAGATTTATTCATTCACTCAAAGACTCCAGGGTGACATTGCACTTTCTTGGTATCTATATTCCATTTACAAAGTGAAAATATAGCAAATCTCAGACAGCACAATGCTCGCATCCGGTGTACTATCAGGCATTTCAAAGAATTATTGAGCCACCCAAAAAAGGTTTAGGCACAAGAAAGGCCTATCCTCCATTGTCACCTTTCAGATGGCTACCTCATCCAAACGACCATTTTGATACTTTGGTCGAGATTTCTCCCCAGTGGATCTTTAGCTGCAGCAGCCATCCATTCTCTCAACCTATGGAGACCACCTTGCCCATTTCCTCCATTTTTAGGAGCATATCACCTCAGACAAATTGGTACTGAAAATAATCTTGACAGGCTACTCCAGGGTTTCTCAAACTTCATTGCACCGTGACCGCTTTCTAACAACAAAAATTACTACACGACCCCAGGAGTGGGGACTGAACTCGCCCATGCCCTGATGCCCCGGGTGCGGGTGCGGAAGCCGAAATCCAAGGGCTTCAGCCTTAGGCAGGAGGACTGTAACCTGAGCCCTGCTGCCCAGATCTGAAGCCATTGGGCTTCAGCTTCAGCCTTGGGCAGTGGGACTCGGGCTTTGGCTCCAGGCCCAGCAAGTTTAAGTCAGCCCTGGTGATCCCATTAAAATGTGGTCGTGACCCACTATGGGGTCCCAACCCACAGTTTGAGAACTGCTGGGCTACTCCATCCAATTCTGCTCCCCCCCATCCCTGTTCAGGGATCCTTCTCACAGGGGGCTCCTAAAGCAGGAGGTAGAATCCCTCCTGCAACTGAGGACGATCGAAACCATTCTTCCAGACTTCTTCAGTAAGGGTATCTGGTCCAGGTACTTCCTGGTCCTGAAGAAAAAAGGAGGGTGGAGATCGATTTTAAACCTTTGCTCTCTCAAAACTTTTATTCATACACAGCACTTCAGGATGGTCACCCTAGCAATGACCATTCCATCGTTAGATCCCAGGGACTGTTTCATCACCCTCAATATCCAGGATGCCTACTTTCAAGTAGCCATAGACCCTGTTCACAGTTGTTTCTTCAGGTTCGTGGTGGGCACCAATTATTACCAGTACCGTGTCCTGCTGTTCGGCTTATCAACAGCTCCTATGGTCTTTACAAAGGTCCTCTCCATCATTGCAGCCCACCTTCAATAGTTAGGAATAGTCATTGTTGCGTATCTGGATAACTGGCTCCTCAAGGACCATACTTTCCTGGAAGTCCAGTTGGCCACCAAGAAGGCCCTAGCTCTGTTCCACCCCCAAAGCCTTTGCCTCAACATATAAACCCTGACACCCGTGCAATGCATAGACTCGGAGGCAGCCAAAACATACCTCCCTATGGACAGGCTTGCCAAGAGATCCAACCTGATCTTCATTCTTACAGCAGAGTCCACGAACCACAATGAGAACTTGTCTTCAGTTCCTGGGACACATGGCAGTCTGAACTTCTGTAATCCCTCATGCAAGGCTGAGTTCCTGGTGTCTTCAAGCCTGGCTACAAGTACAGCCTACACTCCCAGCAGGCACAAGCCATCCAGGGAGATGTCAGGCCCTCAGATGGTACTCGACTCCCTCAATGCTGGAAGTACCCTTTAAAAGTCTGCATGGGAACCCCCTTCTCATGTCTATCTCCCACACACATCATCACCACAGTTGCCTCCCTTATAGCCTCCGGTGCTCAACTGCAAAATCCTAAAGCCCAAGGCAAATGGACTCCTCAAAAGTTGTCACTGCATATCAACATATTTTAACTTCAAGCAGGCATAACTAAGCCCTTCAGGGTTTTTCCCAGGCTCTTAGTTTGCTTTGCAGAGAGGATGATGGGTCACTCAATCTCCTCTCAGAGACTGTGGGTAGGTATCAGGATGCATTTTGGCATGCTATGAGACATAGATTGTACCCACCCTCCTAGAGTCACTACTCACTTCATGCAGGCTCAATCTACTTCCAGTGCCCTCCTTAGGAAGGTATGCTTCAAGGACATTTGCAAGGCCGCCACCTGGTCTTGCATTCACATATTTTTCACAGCATTATCCCTTACTCCATGCCACCAAAGTGAACATGACATTCTGTGAAGCAGTTCTGCACTCTGTACTGGATCCACCTCCTCAGCATCCTCTTCCACATTAAGGTACTGGTTGGTAGTCTCCTCATGAGAAACCCAAATGGACAACACTCGAAGAAGGAGAGGTTACTTACCTTGTACAGTAACTGGAATTCTTTGAGATGTTTTGTCTGGATGGGTGCTCCACTCCCACCTTCCTTTTCCTTTTGCTTCGGACTTTTATTATGCTCTGAGGTTGAGAAGGAACTGGAGAGGTGTGGGTCTGCTTTTATCTATATGCCCTCTTACTGGAGCATAAGGCAGCATACAATACAGGTGCGGACCTGTGGGATATACTAGCAGAAGAATCTCTGATCGAGAGTGCACAAGCGCATGCACGTCCTCAAATGGAGCACCCACAGGGACAAAACAACTTGAACTCCAGTTACTGTACAAGATGATAAGTAACCTCTTCTTCCGTCAGAATCAAAATTAAATGCAAAATCATGTTAATTTCACCAAAATTTTGTTTAGGAGGAAAATTGGAGAAAAAGAGTTATGTGGAAATGTTCCATTTCAGCATTTTGGTAAAGAACCATTTTGATTTTTCATTTTGAAACTGCTTTTCTTTCACATTTTTTTCAAATTCTGTATTATATTATATATATACACTTGGAAGGATTAGATTTTAATTGCTAACCATCAGTAAACATAGATTTCACCATACATACATAAAATGATGAAAAAAAATCTTTCCATCAATAATAATTTAACTTTACAGATAGACAGAGTAAGAAAAATGCTGCTTGAGAACTTTAGTTTGATTTAAGGATATTTACTTTGTACATTTTGACATGTGATGTTGGCAATTTTTGTTTTGATAGTTATATAGCTTTAACTTTGTGAACCTCAACATATACTGTCTTAATTATTGCCTGACCCTCCCCCATAATTTCCAGCAACTGTAAAATTTAAATTGATTAAAAATAGGGGGAGAATACACTAAAAGATTTTTTACCTGGCATGTTGGGAGAATGGGGGGTGCTGGTAAGTGAAAAATTCTGGTTAACTAAGAGGGAGGGAGTAGAGGCATGCAGGGCGCAGGCTCTGGGAGGGAGTTTGCGTGTGGGAGAGAGTGCGGGGCAGGGGGTTGGGATGCGCGGAGTGCCGAATGCGGGATTGCTCACCTCAAGTGGCTCCCCGCAAGCAGCGACCAGTCCCTGCGGTCCCTAGGCAGAGGTGCGGCTAGACACCTCTGCAAACGCTGCCCCCGTCCACAGGCGCCACCCCCGCAGATCCCATTAGCTACGGTTCCCAGCCAATGGGAGCTGCGGAGCCAGCGCTGGGGCGGGGGCAGCGTGCGCAGAGCCACAGAGCTCTCACCCCAATCCCGTGCCCGCCCCTGCACCCAAACTCCCTCCGAGAGCCTGTGCCCCTCATCCCCCCCCGCGCCCCAGTCCTGCACCCCCTCCTGCACTCCAAACCCCTTGTGGCCATTCCTCCGCCTTGGAGCAGCAGGAGCATGTCACCACTTCCAGGAAGCCACATAGGGAGCCTGCCTGCCTCGCACCAACCAGGACTATAAAGCAGACTTTCTATGAAGATTAGAAATGCCAGTTTATAGAGCTCTCTGGTTGGTACAGGGCCGGAGAACACAGCTTTTACTGTTCTTTAAAACCATAATTTTACACTATGTAAAAATTTAATTCAATAACAACAACAAAATGCTTAAAAATAAACATCAATATTACGTGTCAAAATTATTTTAAAAATCTAATTTTGCCAAGCCTAATTATATTTTATAATATAAAATAAAGTCAACTGAAACAAAACATTTTGATTTTCTCAAAAAAAAACCATTTTGACTGATCCAAAAAAATTTTTTCCTGAATTTTCTTTCACAGAGAATTTCAAAAATTTGGGGGTTTGTTCCAAATCACAACAAAAACAAACTTCAGGATTCTTTGTGAAACAGCATTTCCATTCTCCACACAGCTCTACATTGCACCTTATGCAGTCATTTATATTTAATGCGAAGTGAGGGCACAGTGGATGTGAAATGCTTGCAAATCATAGTGGCAGTGTTTTACATTGTGTCTAAATGACTACACAAGGCAAAAGCAGTGGAGAATGAGTCCCAGTGTATTTTTTTAGTGCTTCTGCAAAGTGAGTTTAGTAACATGGACTAGAGCAGTGCTTACAGTGGATAGGCTGCCTCTCACACACATTTACTATACAGCAAACTCACAGATACTAAAGAAAGGCAATGTTGTTTAGTGTTTGTACTACAGAAGTGGGTGACTGATTATATTTTTAATCCCAGCTGTACCACTGACTCATTGTATGACTATAGGCAAGTCACTTGTACCTAAATTGTCAAAATTATCACTGATTTAGGGTGCCCAACTTGAGACATCTAAGATCTGATTTTCAGATTAACTCCATTAGGAGCTGCAAGTGCTCAGTGCCTCCAAAATCAGGTTCTAAATCATTCAAGTTGGGTAACAAAAATGGGGACACTTCTGAAAATATAAGCCCAATCATCTAAATACAATTTCATATAGTCTTTTTCTTAAGTGAAAATGTGTTCAACTGATCCATAAGCCCCCGTTCTTTCCTCCCGATGTGTTTGTGTATGTGTATATATATATATATATATATATATACACACAAACTTACAATGTTACTTATGTATATATTTGATTAGCTCCCTTCACGTGTCACTTGTCATCTTATATTGTAAGCTCTTTGGGGTAGGGACCGTGTATATGTTTTAGGATGCAACTTTTCTATTTTTCTTATCGTTCTAGTGCTTTATCAATAATATTTGTATTTGTTATTAGTATATTGTATATTGTATTAGTATATTAGCATACTGAGTTCAAGTTTTTCCATCTATTGTAGAGTCTCCGCTGGCTTTTACACTTTCTCCTGGGTGCATGTTTATTACTGCCCTGAAGAATGAAGATGCTCCAGTTCATAACTCTAAAGAAATCCCCACGGTCCACTGCATTTCTCAAAATCCTTTGCATTATAGCATTGCATCAGAAACAGCTGTGCAAAAGATAAGAGAGCTAGAAAGTCTAATTGGAGTAGATCCAGGTAAAAAAATAATTTTTTTTCTTGAGTTACTGAAGAATTAATCATTCTGGAAACATAGGATTTGTCATACTAAATTAGTATGATCCATTCTGTTCATTTAGATATTGCACAGTTGACTTTAAATAGTAACAATTGAAAGGTAATTCCAAATGTTACAAAGAATTCCAATGTTAGATTATTCTGATTGAACATTGTTACTTCTCCCCTTCCACCTTACCAAATGGACTACTTTGTGCCAGCCTAAGGTACTGGTCTGCACCGGATAAAGGCAGGCATCAATTCAGTTCCCATTCCTGGTCTCATTTTCAGACTCTGAGTTCTAGACAGTCAGGCCTGGTGGTTAAAGCAGTGTCCGAAAACAGATATCAAGGGTTGAAGCTGGAGGTAGAGTTGCGACCTGGCCGAGGGCAGCACTGACGCTGCAGTCCAGGGACAAGCCATAGGTAAGAACCGGGGTCAGAGTCCATAGATGTGCCAACTCAGGATCGTAGTCAGAATTTGGAAGCAGGATGAAGTCGAAGCTGGGCTAGAGTCAGTCCAAGGATCTGGGGGTCAGGAGCTGGGTGCAGGGCTGGAGCAGGTCAGGACCAGGGCTGGAGCAGCTGAAGCGGGCTAGGACAAGGCTTAGGCAAGGCTGGGGCAGGAACAGGGATAGGATCAAGGGCAGGCTGGAAGCCTAGAAAATCTGTAACACCATGAGGCAGCAGGAAGATTCCTAGCCAAATGGTGCTGTTGCACAGAGCAAGTTGTGGCTCTGGTGGGGAGTGTGAAATACCTGTGCCTAGGGTTACCATATTTCAACAATCAAAAAAGAGGACGGGAGGAGCCCCGCCCCCGTCCTGTCCTAGCCCCG